CTACGGTTTATTCGTCCCGCACAACACAATCCGGCGCCCTATCCAATTGAGCTAACCGGGGGGGCGTGCATAAATAACTCGTGTTATGAAAAGTTATCATTGGAGTCTGACAAAAACGTTTACCTATAAAATCCCTGATTCATCAAATTTAAAAGAAAAAGAGAGAGAGAGAGTCATAAGCAAAAAGAAACAAGCGAAAATACCTTAATGAAGCAGTCAAGGACTGTATCCAGTAACTCGGTTACTTTACCCACATTTCCCCAAATTGTCGCTTGAACGGAGGGATACATGGTCTAGAACAGAGAAGTAATAACTTTGTCAGAATAACTTAATATTTAAAGTCTCGGTAGTAATCAATGATTGCATGCATTGGTTTTGCTTCACTACGGTAAGCGATTGGTACAGAAAACTTATGTAAAAAGTGCAACTATGTTGGCAGCGGTGGGATTCGAACCCACGCCATCGAAATGACTGGTGCCTAAAACCAGCGCCTTAGACCACTCGGCCACGCTACCATTTACAGGCCATCAACGGAGACAGGTAAGGTTAATAATTGAGTTGGCTAATGTGTTTTCCTTATTTTCTCAACCGATCGAAATTCACACCAAAAGTACCCCAACTATGAAACTCGCGGTGGCAATTGTAAATCTCTTCTTGACAAGGAAAACACGACAGTTTATACGCGGAAAGTATAGACGCGGAAAACATGACAGTATATACAACAGACTATTTGCCGAGATACTTGTGATTGCAGAGTCTTTGATATGAAAATTGTTTGTTATTCTCATTAAAATAAACTCGTTTTCACAACAACAAAAAAACGGTCTGGAATATAGCGAAATTTCTTGGACTCGGAAATAATGTTTACATTTGGCTTTTTCGTATTTCAAGCAAAATTTTGTGATTTTTTTGTCAAAACACGTTTATTTCATCTTCTAACGATGTTGCAAAAGTAAAAGGATAATCTTCACCAACTATCAAATTTTATGTGAATTATCAGCTGAATTAAACCCGCAATTTGATTGGCTCTTACTTATGATCTATTGGAGGATAACGCATAGATGACGTCACCACTAACAGCATTTTTTCCTTTTTTCCTTTTTTATCATACGAAAAAGATGGCATTTTGCTTTGGGTCTGTACCGTGATAGATCACAGAGGACGTCAATACTGTATTTAAAGAACATCAGTGCCACTTTGTTTTCTTACGACATTTTGACACCTGTGATGTATTACTGACCACGCGCACGGCACCACGGGATCTATTGTTATTTGATACGTAGACTTTTCGCGGGAAAAAAATTAAGAACTGTCAGACTACTTACTCCTTTTTCTTTCACCGTTAGATTTATGAGTTCTTCAAGGATACGGGTCATTTTCACTTTCTGTGGATCATCCGCTGCGAATCGGCAAAATCTAAAAAAGACAAAATACCTGTAGGAAGGCGTCGAGATCCGAAAACTATACCATGTTTTGATGACCAAGCTTTTGCTATTTTAATCATCAACATTACACTTAAACTAGCCAACACAAGCCTAAAGTTGTTGCTACCTCAACTCCAGACAAAATTTTAAAGAGATAAAACAATAACAGACGCCATGTATGTCCTATTCAATAACACGCTACCGTCACAATTACAAACCTTGCAAGGTTTGGTAGCCAAGGTGCCATGTATTCCAGACACAAATGTTTCAGGTCATAATCTGACTTCACAAAACCCGCAATGCACTCTTCAAGGAACTGTAAGTAAGGAAGAGAAGAGCAGAAAACTGATAAGATGAGTGCGAAAACCAAATAGAGATCAATAGATTTATTGACAAGCAATTTCATAGTTAAAGACCTGACATGAATAACGATGACAGCTGCGTCAAGAGTTGAGATTGTTGGGAAACAAAGGAACCGTTTCCTTAGAACTAGTCGTTTAAGTGTTTGTGCTACTCCTCACTCCACTCCACCCCCCCCCCCCCCAAAGAAATAGCAAAGAAATTCGTCAATTTTTCATGAAGAGGTTACTGATAACCCATTTACCCTCCTGGATGGAGAGGGGCAATATGGGGGTTAAGTGTAATCCCAGAACACAATACAATGACCCCGCCTGCTGCTCGATCCCAGACCCCTCGCTATAACTACAACGCGCCCACCATTGAAGAGAAGGAGGAACGCCAGAAAAACAAGAAATGTATCCTTCTCTAACCTCAAGAGTCAGCTGTGGTTCTCTAGCAGCAAGTTTTTCACTGATTCCAACTATGAACAGTGTATTGTTTGCAGGGATGCACAGACCTGAGAGATAAAACGATGTTGACACTCGTTGCATCGCAAAATCCGAAACTATAAAGCTCTTGACGTAATCTTAGTTTCAATCGATATGATGACTTGAGCATTTTCCTTGTACCACAACAAAACTTTCAAGATTTTCTTTTGACGAAGTTAACTTGGTTGAAGGAAAATATCAGCAAAGATTCTTTTTTTGGGTGTGGTTAGAACAAGCAAACACCTTAACCCGTTGACGCCTGAATCACAGGTAAAGGTCATGAGAATAAAGAAATTGATCACCAACTAAAGAAGCTCTTGATTATTAAACCAATTCTCCACGTCAGCACCTTAGGAAATGTATAGAGAACAGTATGGAGAATATGCATACTGATGTTACCTGTTCCTTCCAGAAGTCTTTCCTCGATTTTCAAGTTGAACGACTTTGTTACGGAACACAACAGATTGTAGGCAGCCAAGCGAAGGCTGGGATCTGATGTACCAAGATTCAACAAAGCCTACAATTGGAAGAAAACGCAACCAAATTCATCTCACAGTCATTTTCTACAGCGACTGTGCATGTTACGTGATAGGGAGTACACAAAACACAAGAGAGGACAAAAGCATATGTAGACTTTTCCAAATTTTCCAACAATTGTACACAATGTATTACCATGTTCAGCAACGTTCCTGGGACATCTTTGGGCTTGATCTTCTTACTCGTAGTTGTGGATGAGTCCTGAAAAAAGTAAACGGAAATAATCAAAATGTACTGAACAACATC